GAAAGCTTACACAATGTAGTTGAACTTGTATGAATAATGATTAATGTATCCATTTTCTGGTAAACTTTTACTGAAGTAAAAGATAAATTAATGCACAAATATTAAGTATATAGTTTGATAAATTTTTAAAATAAAATTTAACACTAAGTCAAGTTTCTTGACTATTTGTGTATTCTGTTTTATGAAGTATCTTTTTCCTATTTTTCTGTGTGCCTGGTTGTCTTATTCTTATTGATTTGTGTGTTTGTTATTTTACAATATATTCCCAATATGAAACCTTTGGGGGAATATCTTGTATTCTGTGGCTTGCTTTTTCATTCTCTCAGAGCTCTCTTAGGTGAATACATGCTCTTAATTTTAATAGTTTAATGTGGTTTTATTTTTCAAAAATTTTCTTTATGATTAATGCCATTTGTGTTTTCTTTAAGAAATCTTCACTAAGATTTAAGAAATCTTAAATTTTAAATCTTCACTAAGGTAACTAAGATGTTTTCCTGTGTTTTCTTTTAAAGGTTTTTTTTTTTTTTTTTTTTTTAACCTTTCACATTTAGATCTGCCATCCATCTGGAATTGATTTTTGTGTATAGTATGAGGTAGAGATTAAGATACATTTCTTTTCCTATGTGGATATCCCTTAACTGAGCACCATTTATTATTCCACTGCATGGCAGTGACAAATTTGTCATAAATCAGGTGACCTTATATGAATGGGTCTGTTTTTGGATTGTTTATTTTGTTCTATTTGTTATTTTGTCTGTTCTGCCAGTGTCACAGTGTTGTTATCATAATTGATAGTATTAATCCTCCTGCTGCTCCTTCTTCAAGGGGCTGCTTTTGGTCCTTTGCATTTTCTAGATGAATTTTACAATCAGTCAATTTCTGCAAAAAACACTCATTTTCAAATTATATTTTTTTCCAAGTATGCTTTGGGAGTTATTTTCTTTCAGCATTTTAATGATGTCATTCTATTTCATTCTGGCTTCCATTATTTCTATAGAAAATTGGCTCCTTTGATGGCAATGTGTCCTTTTCTCCCCCCTTCTCCTGCATTTAAGGGTTTTTCTTTGTCTTTTGTTTAAGTGGTTGACTCTGATGTGCCTGGTGTGTGTGTGTGTGTGTGTGCATGTGTGTGTGTGTAATTCTGCTTGGGGTTTGTAGGGCTTCTTTCATCTCTGACTTAGCTTTTGTCAGTTTAGGAAAATTCACAGGCAGTATCTCTGCAAGTATTTCCTTTAATCCACTCTCCTCTTTTCCTTCTGAGATTCCAGTTGTATGTATCTGAGACTTTGAAAATGATGTTCTGTGTGTTTCTGATGCTCTTTCCCTGCCCTCCACCATGCTCTTTTTAATATTTTTCTTCTCTGGTTTTTGTTTGTTTGTTTTTCAATCTGTATATTTTTAAACTGGCCTATCTTTAAAAAATTCCTCCTCCCACCAATACTTTACCGTGAAACCTCTGAAAAATCCAAAAATCTTGAAAGGATTATACAATGAACATGCACATGCTCATTACCTGGATTCTACAATGAACATTTATTTTATCATATATTTCCCTCTATCCATTTATCAATCCATCTTTATCTTATGAGGCAATTCAAAGTAAGTTCTAGACATCAGTACACTGGATCACTTTGCATGTGTATCATAAAATAGAGCTTGTATTTGTTTGTGGCTCTTTTTTCGGAGGTAAATTTTATATGCAATGAAATGCACAAATGGCATTTAGAAGTCAAGATATGGGCAGGAACTTGTTAAATTTGTTATTTTAAGTAGTAGATTCCAGTTTTCTGGTGCAGTAAAGCCCCTGCTCATAATTTCAATACCTGAATAACTGTGGGGATTCTTCTCTTGATTTCTTTTCCTCCTTTGGTTTTTGGCATTTGATTATATTTCCTGTTAGGCTAATAATTTTGTTTGTTTCTTTTTTAGCACTGGACCTTGAGTATGAAAAATTCTTGAGCTGTGCTGTTCAATATGGTAGCCACTAGTCATGTGGCTATTTAAGTTTAAATTAATTAAAATTAAATAAAATTCAAAATTAATTTCCTTAGAAGCATTACCCACATCTCAAGTGCTCAATAGCTACATGTACAGATAGAGATAGTACAGAAAAAGAAAATTTTGATGATATCTTCCTCCAGGGACAATTCAGTTTTATTTTAGAAGATGGGTAAGAGTAGGCAGATCATGTTATTCTAAGGGAGGCTGGTCTATTTCAGTTGCCCTTGTTCCTAGGGTGTAGCCCTTTGTGGTTTCAGTTGAAAAGCCTCGGGTATCTGCCAAGGTGCTTCTTCCTTGGCAGGTTCTAAACTTGTTTTTGTTTTCCCAGCCCAGTGGGACAGCTGCAGGCTCTGGGCCTCTGTTTTCTGTTCATTGTCTATGCCTTGTTATGAATTGGCAACTACCTCAATGAAATGTAAGGCTCCCTTTAATAATCAGTTTTCTCTTTGCTCTGAGACTTTGTTCCCTCAAGTCCTGGCTGTCTTGTCTTCTCTCTGATGACTTCATACGTTTTTTTTATTTTTTTAGTTATTTTTTTTAGAGCATTTTCAGGTTCATAGCAAAATTTGGCAGAAGGTACAGAGTTCCTGTATGTCTCCTGCCCTTACACACATAGAACCTCTCTCCCTTTATAGACATCCTACATCACAATGATACATTTGTTACAATTGATTACCTATAATGTTACATTATTATCACCTGTACACATAGGTATTTTATTTTATTTTTTTTATTTAAAAGATGACCGGTAAGGGGATCTTAACCCGTGACTTGGTGTTGTCAGCACCACGCTCACCCAGTGAGCAAACCGGCCATCCCTATATAGGGATCTGAACCCGTGGCCTTGGTGTTATCAGCACCACACTCTCCCAAGTAAGCCACGGGCCAGCCCTACACACAGCTATTTTAGTATGTGTGCTTTATCCAGCTCTTATAGTTTTTCAGTATCTTTCCATTTTCTTTATTAGGCAGAATATAATTCAATATATTTGAAAGCTTCTCAAAGGTTTCTGGCAATTCTTTAGAATTGTTATTTGTTGGGATTACTGTTTCTGGTAGGAAATTATTCAGGGTGAGGTATGTGGAGGAGTTTTATATTTTCACATTCCCTGAAATCTCATTGTTTTAGGTGTAGAAGCTGCTTAATACAGTTGGCTATTTGTAGGTTATCAAATATCTGAGAATTTCATTTAAAATGTGTATTAAAATGGATGTATTTTGGGGATCACCGTGTCTAATTGAATGTTTTGGGTTTGTTGAATATATCTTTAAGGAGTGATTTAAGTTTGAAAAATACTGTGCCAGGCACTGTATGAAGTATAAATCTAAATGAGAGGAAGCTCCTCCCACTCTTCTTAATACAGGAGATAAGAAACATATGCAGATGTTAACAGGACTGTTGGTAGAGGGTGCATTTTATTAGTTCTTATAAGGTTTACAGTTTAAGTCCAAGTTTTTGTTTTGCTATCATTTATTGACCCTGGGGAAATCACTCAAGCACTCTTAACTTCAGATGCTTTTTGTGTTAAGGGAGATTAATTATATCCAAGTGCTTTACTTGGTTTAATTGTCACAATAATCTGGAAATGCAAGAATATCCCTCATTTACAAATGAATGAATTGGGGCTGTAATGAGGTTTATAACTTGCCTTAGGCCTAGAGTTTGTAAGTAAATGCCAGAGTTGGGATTTGAATTCAGTTCTCTTGTAACTCTAAAGTTTATTTGATTATACTGGTACTGAGCAGTCTGTTCTGAGAAGCATTAATAGGTGCTTCTTGAAAAATCGATGGTAGGAATATGTTTTCTAACATATGATTTAAAAAATTAAGTGTAAGATAGCGTCACTCATATGGTATTCCTGTTGAAAATAGATAAAAGGAATCTTCTTGTGAGGAAAAATTAAATAAATGCAAATTGAAGACATTCTGCAAAATAACTGGTCTGTGTTCTTCAAGAATGAAAGTATCATGAAGACCACAGAAGTACCAAGCAGATATTCCAGATAAGTAAAACTAAAGAGAAATGAGTCTGGGATTTATTTATTTTTAAAAATTTGTTTGTTATAAAGAAAGACATTATTAATTGGGACAGTTGGCAAAATCTGAATAATGGTATTGTATTAATGTTTATTTTCTGATTTTGATAAATATATTGAAGCTGTAAAAGAGACCTTGTTTTTAGGAGGTACACACTGAATAAAGCATGCGGAGGTAAAGGGTTACAGTGTCTGCCATTTAACTGTTAAGCAGTTTAGAAAAATTATATTTGGGAATGAAGATGGTGGCGGGGCGCCAGAAGACGGCGTGAGCCTGAGAGGTGTGCTCTGTGCTGCCAGAGTGCTACTTGCATTTACAAGAGCAACAAAAAATGAATGAGTCTTTGATCAACTAATCTACAACTATAAAAAAGCAACTACAGACTCGAGGTTTAGGGCTGGCATAAAAGAGGATTCCTGGGAGCGCCCGAGACGCACTGGGGGACCAAGTGAGCAGCTCGAGGCAGCAGTGGCTGAGGACTGAGACTGCGACAACACGGAAACGGAGAGGGAGCCGCTCGGCAGGCTCAGCTCTGTGAGTGACCCCCAGCCTGGCCCTGCTTGCGGAGCAGACGCCTGTCCGGATTCCGCCTACCCCACTGGGCCAGTCACCGGCCCAGGGCTGCCTCCATTTTCTCAGGTGGAGGCGGAGCAGGCTGGCTAGGCCAGGCCTGCCCTCCTCACCCGGCTCGGCTCCTCACTGAGCCTTCCCACTTCCTTGCCCTGGCACGGGGCCTCCTGGGGCCTGCAGGCCGGCCTCCCATCCCATTCCCTCCGCAGTTCTCCAGCGGGGCTAGTGGCGGGGGGAGAACCAGCCAGCGTCGGGAGGTTAGGGAAGAGCGGGCGAGGCAGATTATCACTCCACCGCACCCTGGGCTCCGCCCCTGGTAAACTTCCTGTTACAGGGAGGCAGATACCATCTCTGCGGCCATCAGTTCAGAAAAATGCCTCATTTCTGATTAGGAAATGGGTGATCGGAGCGCTCCCGAGCTCGCTTGAACTTGCTGGAGAGCTGACTGCAGGCGGGCGCCGGAGTCGTTCCGCGCCGGGGGGATTCAAAGAGGAAATGTGTGCTGCGGGCTCCTACCCTGAGGAGCTCATGCTCCGGTGTGGGAGATAAGACAAGCACACAGATAAATGCAATAACAGGAGGAAGGTGATTAGTCCTGAGAAAGCCCTATACAGTGCTGCAAAGCCACCCAGAGCGACTAGCAGAAACCTGAAAGCCCTCCTGGGCGTGGTGGTGCCGAGCAGGGGCTTGAAGGCCTGGCTGATAGATGAGGGTTGCAGAAGACACGCCCCAGCCTAGTCAAGAGCGCACAGAGCAGGGAGATGGCCGGTTAGGGAGGCGGAGACTTGGCAGAAAACACACACCCTGTGGGGCCGCTAGGGCGTGATCCAGCAGCCAGGGCCAGAACACACGGAACAGGGAGAACTCCTACATGGGAAGTGGAAGCTCAAAAGAGACCACACACCCTATGGTACCGCCCCGTGATCTAGCAGCCCAGCAGAGCCCAAGCTGACCAGAGAGGTGGCTCCCCGGAGGGGCCCAAGACCCGAGGCAACCACACACACAAAAGACACTAGAGGCCAACTGAGCAGTCACAGAGGTAGCCATACCAAGTTGACAAACACAGCCATACCTTAGTTAGCCAATAGGGTCAAACCTGTGCACTGTGAAACGCCCTGCCAAGATGAATAAACATCCAAAAAAAGATACCAGAAATGCAAAAAATCAAGAAAGTACACCACCAA